CTTATTTAAAAAAAACTATTTATCACAATCACTGTCCATTTATCTGACATATTTTACCTCTCTTGCATGTTTAGGCGCATAAACATCGGCTCCCACTATCAGGCAGAGATTCCAGAACTATGGGATCAGACTTTGGCCCTAAAGGACCAGCATAAAGCAACTTTGGTCTGGCTCCCTATTTCAGAGGCTGATCCTACGGCCTCCCAGGATACAAGATGTAACTTGTCTTTAGACTGCATTGATATAGCTAATGTTCTCCAAATGCATATAACACAAACATACTCACATATTTTCATTCCAATCCTTATTATTTTCCAGTTGATGACCTTATGAACCTGGTCTGCTCCAGTGTCATGTATGGAGGAGGAACCAACCCAGAGCTAGCAATGCACTGCCTGCACGAGTGTAAAGGCGATGTCATGGTGAGCACAGTCCTCAATGCACAGTTTTTTCTAATCATTCTTATTTGAAATGAGTTGCGCTGTTTAATGTTTTAGCAGAAAATGTGAAATCTAAACCTTTGAACGGTTGTATGTCTAAAAGTGTCCAAATACTTACTGGAGCCACTGTATTTGATGCATAAATATGTTTTCTGGAGAAACAACAAATGTTGTTTTGACTCTGTAGCAAGCTCTGGAAATGATGATGATGAAGAATCCCATCTTCTCCAGGAACCACCATCTGGCAAACTACCACTATGCAGGTAGAAACTCAATTACAGAAACGTATGTGGGCTAAAAACTAATTAATCACACATTTTTCTGAAACTAATCACACCTAACATTAAAATCTTTTTATACTGAATCTCAAAATTAATGCAGAAACAAATAAAGACATTTTAAATCTTTGTTTAATGACATCTTTTTTACGAAGTACTATTAATAAAGGCCAGCATCAGTGATACCAAATATTGCTAATGGTGACTTTATTAATTAGATTTTTTCGATCAATTTCTCGGGATGAAACAATTAATAGCCTTTCAACATTACAGGATAATATTGCAACAACCTTTAATTTAAGTGAAATTAAAACAAACTTCACTAGGGCTGTCTTGGTTTGTCTAAAAAACAATTTTGATTATGACGATTAATTAGTCTCTTTAAGCTGCATTATATTTCTCAGCAAGAAGGTGAAGGCATTGCTGTTTTGGTCTATGTCTTTACATTGTGACTTCTAAAAGAGTGTTTGTCTGAAATATCTGTGGTTACTCTACATCAAATAACAGCCACCAGATGGTTGTTTAATAATCATGACAGGTCTAATCATCATATAAACCCATCATAATAAATATCACATTTAGCTGTGCCTTTAATATAATATAGTGTGTTGTATAGTAATATAATGTTTAATTCTCTGACAAAACCAGCTATCTCTTGTTTGATGAAGAGCAGTCAGGTTTTTGTTTTCCTTAAGTTTATTTTGCACGTTCATTTTCACAATAAGAAAAATTAAAAGAAGAAACATTTGACATCAGTATTTTTAAGTGAGGGTCAGTCCTTGTGATACTGCTATATTTACACAATTTTGCTCTTACACACAAACTGTAATGCTAGCAGCTAGCCAAAGGATGCTACATTAACTGTTAAACGCGTTAACTGTTAAACCGAAAATATTAATCGCAGTTATTTTTGGATTGTTAAATTATTGCAATTGCAATCCAGCAGATACTCTGTAATTTTTTATGGTGTATAACAAGAGTAATGTTCCTTAAATATTGACAGGATCAGATTGCTGGACTGTGGATGAAAAACGATTCTTCAACAAGGGAATTTCTGCTTACAGGAAAGATTTCTTCTTAGTGCAAAAACTGGTATGCTGTCTTTTTTGGTTATTGTATTATTGGTCATATATTGATCCAGATTAAGTAAATAAATATATTTTAAAATACCTTTTTAAGGTGACATTGTGTTTTTGTTGATCTGTCTGTTTTGGCAGGTGAGGACTAAAACAGTGGCACAGTGTGTGGAGTTCTACTACACTTATAAGAACCAAGCAAGGGTTGGTCGTAATGGGACTTTTACATATGGACCTTCAGACCCAGAGGAAAGCCTCCCTGTGGTAAAAGTTGTTACTGCTGTTAGACATTGTCATTGTCTTTGACTTTATAGCACATGTACAGTGGGATCCAAGTGTGAGACCGGACTAAAAAAATCATTTATAATTAAAATAACTAAACATTCTGTTCTTTCATCTCCAACATAGATGGTTGTGAAAGAGGAAGAATATGATAGTAAACAACAGGAGGGAACACAATATCATTTGGATGAGCGTCTTCAAGATGTGACCAAGACACTTCAGGACAATGAGAATGTGAGTATTTGGAGCGAAAGCATACTCCTCTTTGTATAAACGTATAGTAAATACATCATAAAGACTTTGTCATGTTTTTCTGGGTTGGAATATTAAATGTCTTGTCTTAGCCAAAGAAGTATCTCATTCTATTTGCATGGTTGTATTTACTGGCTCATCCAGAAGAGGGCAGACGCGGCTCATGAGGACCTAAAGAATGGCTCTACGAAAGAGTCTTCTGGCCTGATGCCAGCAACTCAACCCTCCTTCAAAACTCCTTCGCCTGCACCTCCGAAGCCTCGCTCTGACAATACCGGGAAGAAAAACAGGACCTCAACCGTCAACAAAAGTCAGGGAGAGCCGGAGGGCATTTTCCCTTGCAAAAAGTGCAGTAGGTTAGTCAGTTTGTATATTCTGGTCTATGAATTTTTACTCTGAAAATTAAGCAACTGAATTAAGCAAGTTTGTCTTAGTTGCATTTACCTCAAAGGACAGTGAGAACCATTTTCTTCCAGGGCTTTGGTTTACAGTATGTGCACTTAAGTGTACTTTCAGTGTACTTAGTACCTAGTTATAACCCTGATATTGCAATTAATATAATAAATACATAGTATGTACATGGGGACCAGGACTGTAAAATAAATTGTTAATCTTACTCTTGTACTGTACATCTTATCTAAGTAGAATAAGAGGGAGGATTCTCTTTATCTCTGCTCTTCAATACAGTTTAACTGGGGATTTGATATTCAGACACTGAAATATTACTTTCAGTATTTCAGTATTAATATTATTATATAAATCTATCAAAAATATATTTTAATATTTAATATTAAATGTATTGGTAATATTACATCTAGATGGATATTTTCCAAATTGTTTAATATATAAATATGTCAATCTCAGTATCATTAATTAATTTAATATATATGTTCTTTTTTATATATACGATTTTTGTTAATCTTTGAAACACAAATAAATCTGAGAGATTTCTGTCCCTTCAATGACAGCTACGCAACTACCACTTTGACGTTTCAAAAAGTTAAGAGATTGTAAAACTAATCCATATGAATTGAGAGGTTTAGTCCAAATTTTCTGAAGAGACAAGATCGCTTTACATGATGAACAGATTGAATTTATGCTTTTATCAGCGAAGATAAACAGAAGCTCAATCGTACTTGCTTTGATGCGCGAGAACAAACATCATTGGTTTTTGCGGAAGCTCAAACGTGCTTGTAACACAGGAGAATAAACCTCATTGGTTCTTGCACATCAAGTGAACTCCATTTATCATAACAGACATGTGAATTAAAGCCTAAATTTAATTTATTCATCATATAAAGCAATCTTGTCTCTTCAGAAAATTTCTCATATGGATTATTTTTTATGATCTCTTCATAACCTTTTTGAAGCTTCAAAATGGTAGTTGCAATGGATGGACGGAAATCTCTCAGATTACATTAAAATATCTTCATTTGTGTTTCGAAGATGAATGGAAGTCTTAGTATTTATATTTTTGGGTTAACTATCCCTTTAAGGGCAGATGCTTTTTACTCTTTTTTTTTTTTTTTTTTTTTCTCATTGTCTGCTCATCCTTTTAGAAATCCCCACAGCTAGCCAATGGTTTTAGGTGTGTATGTGTGTGTGTGTATATATATATATATATATATATATATATATATATATATATAGCAGTTTCTTATTTTAAGCAATCCTTGTACTTAATTTGATGTCCTTGTGTGTATATATAGGGTGTTCTATAAAGTGAAGAGCAGGAGTGCCCACATGAAGAGTCACTCCGAGCAGGAGAAGAAGGCAGCAGCTCTGCGCCAAAGAGAAGAGGACGAGCGAGTGGCTAAGGCAAAGCAGGAGATGCTAGAGTTAGCAAAGATGAAGGAGGCACAAGGAACAAAGAAAGAAGAGAGTAGTGGAGCTGAGGACAGCTCAGCAGAGCCAGATGATGAGCTGGATGAGGACTGGCATTGAGGAACTACTTCTGTAGTACCAGTTGGTACCAAAAATGGGGCAGTTGTGATGTTTGAAATGATAACAGTGAGTGGATGATGTGCCTTTGACTTTTTATTTTTACCAAAATTTTATAAGAACTTTCCTCTGGTATATATTTTAAAAAAAAATCCAGATGTGCGTCAATTTTGCATCATTCACGATGAATGAGCTTGATATGAAATCGAATGAATATGAGCGTTAACTTTTCTAGACAGTACCCGAACAAATTTTGTATGCACTCGGTGAGATTGTATTTTTTATGCGTTTATGTAATATACATAATATGTAATCAAGAACACAGACTAAAATCCCCTTCCCTTCTATAATTTCAATTAAATATTTCTTGGTCATGAAATGTATATAATGCATAAAGAATCTCTTTGTATTATATTGTGTACAATATTGATCCTGTTGTGTATTTCCAGTACTCTAAACTTAAAAGAATGTATATATTTATGTTTTCGATGCACTTAAAGGGGAGTGGGATTAATGGATTTTTTTAAAAATAAAACTCACATGTAAATGTAAATCACAAAAAAAAAAAAAAATCATATTGATCACATTTTCACACTTTGCTGACTAATGTGACCACGCTTTATATTTGCTATTTTTCATAAATGTGTGAAACTTTCAGTAAACTTGTATTATTTGTCTTGATATAATAAATATAAAAGGAAAAAGTTCAATTACCATCATCACATTTGGTATTGAAAGAAGAAAACAATACTCTTTAATAGTCATTTAGGTGATTACACTGTTTAAATGCATTCAGCGTTTGCTGGTTGTTATTGACAAGTAGTTTGTTCAGTCTCTTTAAATGAAGGTTAAAATAACTATCATTAGTATCAGAAGAGTAAAAGACACCTGGATTTTTCCACTGCTACCACCTGCAAATAAGAATGACATTAATTGGTTACTAAATATTTCTAAAATCCACACAGGTAGTAAAAACAAAATGGTTCAAAGAAAAGGCCATTTTGAATGAAACCCTCTTCTGAGAGTCAAATGCTTACCAACATCAAAGTTATCCACTAGCATGCCTTTGGTGTCACTGAGACTTCCATTGTTGGCTTCTGGAACCACACCCAAAATCTTACACATCAACGGATAGATGCTGACACTGTCAAAAGGCTCAGCCAAGAAATCATTCTTAAAGTCTGGTCCAAAGGCTCGAAAGATCATTTTCATATCCATTTCCTCATTACTGAATCCATGATCTCCTTTGTTGATATCCAAAATAATCCTCTGCACAAACAGAAAACATTGTTAGAATAGAAATCAGTATGATTAATTCAGGTAGGCTGTTTACAGAATGACCCTTCCTACCTCAAAACATGTAGCTTAAAGGTAGTATTTACTATTTACACTACTGTTTGGAAGGCAGATTTTATTTATTTGTTTTTTGGAAAGAAATTCATCTTAATTTTTTTTTTCAGCAAGGATGAATTAAATTGATCAAAAGTGACAGTAGACGTTTATAATATTACACTAGAGTTCTATTACAAATAAATTTTGTACTTTAGAACTTTTATTTATCAAAGAACAACAAAAATATTCAGCAGCAACAATGATATATATATATATATATATATATTTATTTATTTTTTATTGATAATGATAATATATATATATATACATACAAATCAATGCTGCTTTGGTGAGCATTAAGACATTTCTTTGTAAAAACAAAAAAATATTAAAATATATGAATATATTGAATAATATGAAAATATTGAATATATGAAAATATATACCGAATATATTTATTTTTATGGATATGTTACTGATAAATGATAAAAACTAGCTGAATAATGTAGAGCTTGTACGGCATGTTTTAATTACCATGTTTGGCTAAATATATTGTCAGATTGTACTAAGCTTTATCAATATCGCAAATCTAGTACATTTTTAAAATTTCATTTAAAAAAATGAAATTTAATGCTATAGGCTTATATTGCATTATATTAGCCTACCGTAAAAAAGAGAGAAATTAACTCTGCTGCTGTCAGGGTTATGCTCTTGTGTAAGTTTCCTTTGTTCCTGTTTTCCCGCCACTAGTTTGTTTCCATAGTTCCCATTGATTGTTTCATTTTTTGATTATGTTCACCTGGTTTTCATTCAGTTTCCTTTGTCTGCCTTTGGTATTTCTGCTACCTAGTTGTTCTGCTAACCGTGTTATGAAGTTTTCATTTGAGCTAAGTTGAATTAAAGTGTATATACTACGGCAATTAAATCTAGCTTTTATTTCCAGTTTCAAATACAACAGCTGAGGAAGTGATGGCAATTTTTTTCATCTTTCTCCCCAGTCTCTATATTTTTCCCTCAGTCATGGAAACACTATAACAGATTTTTTTTCTTTTGAAACTGGAGCAAATGGAAATACAAAAATGACATTTGCTGTCATCTCCCATTCACCGCTATAGAAGTTTACACAACTATGATGAATTCTGCTTCCGAGAACCCCGGAAATGCGAAAAGGGTCCATTGGGTAAAATCATTTTTAAAAATAATTTCCAAAGCCACTTACAGAGTTGATATTGAACCCCAGGTCTGCCAGAAGAACTATAGGTTGAATTCTCTCATGTTTTCCTATGTGAAAGTTTTCAGGAATCTCTTCTTGCTTATAGACCGTCAGATTGGGATGCATATTCTTCAGGGCATTATAAACTTCCTGTTCTTTGCCCTCTTTAGGTGTGATCATCCCAAACCCACCATAGTCGAGCAGGTCAAAGCGGGATAGATTTAAGAAACTCATGTAATTGCTAAGTTTTATCTCATTAACCTCAGTGGCCTTTTTGATAGTGGTCATGCCATGGTCTGAGGTCAGGATGACGTTAAGATGATCAGTCAAACCAGCATTGTCAATTGCCTCCCTGAGGTAGCCAATAGTGCGGTCGATCTGTTCAATGATCTTTTTTCTCGCTTGAGTTTCGGGGCCATCAGTATGACCCACATTGTCTGGTTCTCCATAGTACAGAGTAACAAAGTCAAAGTTCTCTTTGGCGAACCATCCCATAACAGTGTCTATGTTCTGCCGCCAATCTGTTTCATTGTCATCAGGTTGACCATGATCGTCCACCAGGGAACGATCCACAGCTTGCCCACTGTATTTTGCTCCTCCTCCAGGATAGAAAAAAGATGCTGTTTTCAGACCCTTTGAAATATATACAGTAGGAGAAGTTATTAGGGAAGAGCCAATATGGTTTGTGTCAATTAATTTACAGTGATGGATGATTTTACAGGACATATTTAAACTACTGGTCAAAAGGCAGAAGCACTTTAATTTCTTTTCTTTTTAAATAATGGTTTTGAAAGGCCCAGTTTCACAAAAAGATCTTAGACTAAGCCAGGATTAGACATTTGTTTAATAAGGGCATTTAAGTGGCTTTTTATAAATGTGGCTTAGAAAAAAAACATCACTGGTGTGCATCTTGAGAAAAAACAATGGCACTGCTATATTAAGATATGTTTGTACTTTCATTAAAAATATCTCAAACATGCACTTTAGTCTGGGACTAGCTTTTTGATCATAGATATGATCTTATATTACCATTTCTACGCAAGAATGATTAATGAGGGCCAATCTGCCCATAAAAAGCTTGTCAGAGGAGCAAGTTCACCTGATTCTGGGCTGTTATCCACAGTGGCAAAGCACCATTATCCCACCATTCTGATTTTTTAAGCGTTGCCTTATGGGTAAGTCTCAACCCAGTTGTAACATTGAACATCAAGTTATGGACCACACCATGATCCTCTATCCATCTCCCTAAATGAAAGATTAAGATTCAATCATATTGTTATACCGTGCTATACAGATATATAGGCAGTATTAATTGTCACTATACATAATGTTAAAAATTGTATTCATTCATATCAACCAATTGGTCTCTGTGGTCAAATAGTGGATTCAAATGAACTAAGATTAATTGTGATCACAATGTGCATGTAGACCCACATTTCTTTTTTTTTTAACTCAATAGACCTACTCATAATGTAAAGAGATATAAATCGGCCATTGAACAAGGTTTATGAATTTGGAACACTGCTTATGTAAACAACCTTAAAGTTGGATTTCATGCTAACTTTGTACAGTGCCACTTAATGAGGTTGAAGTTATTGGCCAATTATGTGTGCTCAACTCTCAATACACAGCTTAAGACTTTGAACATCATGATAATGCAGACTGAACAAGGACATTGTAGAGGCTAATACCTAACATTCTGAATATGGCTCCAACAGATATGAACACTAAAACAGTAAGCTATGGTGGCACACAACACATCTGTGTGAATCAGAAGCATGAATATTTGCACTTATTTCTGCAAAACTATATTAAACAATATTCAATTTCATTAATAGGCTATACAATTAATATTCTTTAAAATGTACAGTATTAACAATTGTTTTTAATTTAAAACGTATTCAAACACACACACACACACACACACACACACACACACATATATATATATATATATATATATATATATATTAATCTCAAGTTTGAGTTGTTAATCAGTGGATATTTAGTGACTCAGAATGAACTAATTTCTCGAACCAATCAAATCCTATGCAAGGGATTTAAACAACCGCTGATTTAAGTATGCATTACAAAAGCTATTCCAATTCAGTGTTTGAATGAATTGGGCCTTTGAATGTGTCAGAGCTTCTGTTCTGCTCTTTTTGTGGTACACCCCTCTTTACGTAAAGGGTGTATTCTATACAAACATTCATTAGATATAGTGTTGAGCCTTACCAGTAATGGTTGTAAAGTGTGATGGAGATGTCATGGTGATCGCTGGGGGATTAATGTACTTTGCCTTCACTCCCTCTTTAACAAGCTTGTCCAGATTTGGTGTGTCCACATCTTGGTCGTAATCCCACCTGAAACCATCAAAAGAGATCAGCAACAACTTATTATATGTCTTGCTTTCAGACAGGGGTTTACTGCTCACACAGAGAGACAAAGCCAACACCAGCAGAAGTTCTGACTTCATCTTGAGAGACTGTTAAGCAGAATGAAAATCAGCAAAAGCTGATCTTGGTGTTATTACCAGGCGTTATCAGGGGGACTGATAAGATATAGCATATAGATTTAAAGGGGTGGTTTACTGTTTTTTTCTTTGCATGATTGTGTTTATGGGGTGCAATATAACATGTATTTGTGGTTTAAAGTCTTATTTTTCATAAATTTCACCTTTATTGTAAGCCGCGTTCTCCTCTGTCATTTGAAAGACCAGTTGACTTCCCGAGTCTATGAAACCACCACAGGATTGGTTAGTTTGGGCCGGTGTGTTGTCATTGGCTAAACTGAGTAGTGCACGTTGTCCGGATACTTGCGCCCATTACCTTTACGAGCATGTGTGTTCCTGTCAAATGTAAATAATAGGTCTGAAATTATACATTCAAATACATTTAAAATGATTAAGTCTTAGCCTACTTACAGGATGTGGCCCAACAACTGCTGCCTCTGGTTTTAAAGTTGGAACTGCTTCATGTTTTAGTAACAGTTTCTTGTTGAATCCGGCGTTGAATTCGTGGAGATTCTGGAAGCTGTCTTCCGTAAAATGCGCAGCACAGAGAGCTAAATTACGATCGTCATTTTCAGGAACATAATCAAACATAAATTGTATCCATTGTTGATGAACTACAACGTCCGTGGGAAGCCCGAACACAGAAGACCTGACAGCTGGTGAACATAACACACTCAACGAGACGCAGAAATATGCGCATGCATATTCCGGAGGGGGGGTTGATGTAAATGGGTGGGTTAGTGACGTCTAAAACCCTGTTGTAGTCCCAATCGAGTCGTTTTTGTAGGCAATATACTTCCTGATTTTAAAAGACGATATCTCTGCTTACATTGAGCTTTCAGCGCTGCAACTTCGCAGATACTATTCATGCACAAACAGCAACATTACAATACATTACACAATATTTAAAATGAAAAAAGTGAAATCGCAATCAATTCATATATTACGCCATTTCACATACATAGACAACCAATCACTTACTTTGAGTGATGCATGTTGTAAGCAGTGCAGTGCAAAGGTACATCAGAGTCATCAGTGAAATGATGACAATCATGGTAACGGTCAACAGAAAGTTTCTCCCCATGCTCACCCCGCAGCCATAATCCAAACTCAAGCTTGCCCACAGGTGAGCACAGTCACAAATTAATACAGGCAACACACCCCTGGTCACACCCACGGTTACCGATGACGTCACCATGCGCGTGTTGGAAAACGTGTAGATGTCACGGTTTAGTTTAAACTCAAAACCATAAATAGGGCTATACTGCCCTCTTGTGTCAAATTATATTTCTATATTTATTTTTCCAACAAATAAAACCAAACCCCAATAAAACCCCATCCAATACATGCTCGACAGATTGAGTAGCTTTAGCGGAGTTGATAAAGCGTTGGACTTTAATCAAGAAGACCTGAGTTCAATTCCCATACTTGCTTACATTAAATTGTTGTGATTATATCAAAGAAAGTGGCCAAAACAACATTTCTTCAACCCGGTATCACGACAAGACGTGAAATAATCACGTTGGTCCACTTTTGAAAACGTGTAGATGTCACGGTTTAGTTTAAACTCAAAACCATAAATAGGGCTATAGTGCCCTCTTGTGTCAAATTATATTTCCATATTTATTTTTCCAACAAATAAAACCAAACCCCAATAAAACCCCATCCAATACACCCTCCATACCATAGATTCAGTGGCTCAGTTGATAAAGCGTTGGACTTTAATTAAGAAGACCTGAGTTCAATCCCCATACTTGCTTACGTTAAATTGATGTGATTATATCAAACAATGTACACGACAATGCAAAGAAAAGAGAAAACATAATAAAAGCCCGAACAAACCCAGTGTATGGCTCCTACAGCTCTACTTCCAACCTTATATCTTAAAGTGTAAATAGCAGGCTAACCACCACAATCAATAATATCTACGTTTGTTCCATTTTAATGATAATGCACGTAAGGGACTTTTAATGCAGAAATACTACCGGAAGTAGGAAGTTTAAGTTTTTTGTGCTCATTATTGTTTTCGTGTTCACACTGCTTTCGGGGCTGGGTCCCTGACAGCTGATGTGATATTTTGGAAAACAAGCTTTTATTTTAAACAAAATACAAGTCAGAGCGTTAAAGAAAGCATTCTTGCCACTCCATTGGATGTAAGTAAGGTAAGATTCGACAGTTAGTCGCAGTTTATTAGCTTCTCAAAAAGGCCCCTGCGCTGTTTATTGTGTCAGCTGACCTTTTTATTTAAAACAACTGTTATTATGACAAATAAAACGCCACGATCTCTGCCTTTAAAAAAAAGTGGTGTTATTAGTATTAGTTGTTAGTATTTACTATGCGTGTAACTAATATTCTAATGTTTATAATACAATAATTACAATATTCATATAACGTTACTGTGGTATTTTCATGGATCCCATGGTACTTTCCAGTACATATTTGTGAATAATGGATAAGTTACTTACATGAATAAAATGAAATTGACATGAATGTGCTATTTTTATGGCCATCAGTATAGTAAGTATAGCATCGACCAGCAGAATGCCCATTATGTTTATGTACAAAATGTTTAGTGGAAGTAGCCTTATGTTTGCTGATTCCCAAGACCCAATTGTGCTTTTAATTTCAGGAATAAACATGACTGCCATCAAGCACGCCCTTCAGAGGGATATTTTCACCCCCAATGACGAGCGTCTGCTAAGCATCGTCAATGTCTGCAAGGCAGGAAAAAAGAAGAAGAACTGTTTCCTATGTGCCACAGGTAGAACACAGACGCAGTCTGACCCCGCATATCCATGTCCAGATCACATCAGTAAACGTTTATCGATTATATTACCTTATCAATTCTGTTTATTATCCTCAGTGACTACAGAGCGTCCAGTGCAGGTGAAGGTGGTGAAAGTGAAGAAGTCAGATAAAGGAGATTTCTATAAGAGACAGATGGCCTGGGAACTACGAGACCTGACAGAGGTTGATGCCAAAGATGCCACTAAGGTCAGAGGTCATATGTGGAATTTTATCAATATCAATTCAGACATGAAGTAAAGATCAGTAATAGAATATCTATTACTTAAATATTATATTAGATGCATGATATATCTGTACTGTCCAGGGCTGCATTTTCCAAAAGTATTGTAAGCCTAAGAGCATTGAGCTATTGCCACCAATGGTCTCTTTGGTCATCTTAGTTCACAATGCTTTTGAGAAATGCAGCCCAGATTGGTTATTGGGTGATACTGGATACAGTGTTATTTTATTATTATTTATATATTATTTTTTGTTCTTTTTCATCTAATATTTATATTTTCTTTTATTTCAGCTTGATTTAAAATTAACAAAAAACGATTTAAGTTAACAATGCCAACACTGATTGGATTATCATTATTTAAATAATTTCATTTAAACTTTACATTACCCTTGTCATCACCTAATGCTCACTTAAAGTTAATCTTTAAAAACACTAATCATTTAAATCTCAAATATATTTTAATGTTGTGATGCCTAAATTTATTTGTAGCACTTAAAGTGTTTTATATTTTAATTATTTAGAAAAATGTACTTAATATGGTTATTGGCCATAACATATTAGATAAAATAATTATCAAATTGGTATTGACCTGAATTTACTGAGAAAATCTTGTACTTTTTTTCATTTCTTCCATTCTTCAGGAAAATCCAGAGTTTGACCTCCATTTTGAGAAGGTTTATCGGTGGGTGGCGAGCAGCACTGCAGAGAAGAATTCGTTCATCTCATGTATCTGGAAACTGAACCAGCGTTACCTTCGCAAGAAAGTGGAGTTTGTAAACGTCAGTCCTCAGCTGCTGGAAGGTATGGCTCACTACTGCTCCTGGTCTGGGGAAATAATAGCATGTTGTTAAACTACCAGTGTGGTTCTAATATGTAATTACCTTAGCCCTTTGATAGAAACAATTCTTAAAGCTTATACATATAACTATTACATTTGCAGTGGTAGGAACTCAAACTAGTTTCTGTTTTCCTGCAGCTAGTGTTCTCTCTCTTTTACTTTTTCTGAGCTCTTTGGGTTTCTGCAATGTCTATTTGGGTGTCCCTTAATGCTTTAACCTGATCTGTGCTATTCTCTTTAAATCTCTCACTGGCCAGAGCTTCCTAAAGCTGAAGGTTTGTACGCTGTTTTTTCTTCCATTTTCCATCCTCCTCCATTTCACTTCTTCAGTTCCCCTCATTAATGGTCATTCTTTCCTTCCATTAATTAATTTTAAAACCACATATGCAGATATCAGGGAACATTTGCACAATGCTCACTCTTTAGATTTGTTTGTGTGCATGTGTTTATTTTAATAAGTGTTACTTGCATTATATTTATGGAGTAGTTTAGTTCACATACTCACATACATACTGTTCAAAAGCTTGGGATCGGTACGATTTTATAAATGAATAATACATTATTTTTAAGTCTCTTATGCTTACCAAGGCTGCATTTATTTGATTTGCTTGTCTTCAGTGTCACATGATCCTTCAGAAATCATTCTAAAATAATGATTTGCTACTCGGGTAACATTTCTTAATATTATCAAAAGGTTTTTGTGGACTTTTTTTTCAGGATTTTTTGATGGATAGTTCAAAAGAACAGTTAACTTTTGATTAATTTAATGCATCCTTGCTGAATAAAAGTAATAATTTGCAATATTACAACAATACTGACCACCAACTTTTAAACGGTAGTATATTACATCAATATGATGACCATATGAGTGCTGTTGTAATGCTCACTTTCTTATTCCTTTCCCCCAGAGTCGGTCCCGAGCGAAGAGAGTCAGAGTGTAGCCGGAGGAGATGAGGATGCTCTGGACGATTACCAGGAGCTGAACGCCCGTGAGGAGCAGGACATTGAGAGCATGATGGAGGTCTGCGAGTACGCCATTTCCAACGCAGAGGCCTTTGCTGAGAAACTGTCCCGTGAGCTACAGGTCCTAGATGGGGTGAGTTTATTAAAGTTTGTTAACAATAGAAGTAGTTCATCGGGATTTCATTAGAACCATTATCTATATTGAGCGTGCAATAATTATCTAAATGTTTAGGTAAATGTTCTTAAAGTTTGTCTGATTAGGGAATAGTGCATAGTCCCATATCAAAAATGAAATGGGTTTATTTTTGGTGTTCGCAAATGATAATATTTCTTCTTTTCTCCTCAGGCTAACATCCAGTCCATCATGGCCTCTGAGAAGCAGGTGAACATCCTGATGCAGCTGCTGGATCAGGCTCTGTCAGAGGTGGATAACATCGAAGGCAAGTTGCTCAGTTACGAGGAGATGCTGCAGAGCGTGAAGGAGCAGATGGACCAGATCTCCCAGAGCAACCGCCTCATTCAGATTAGCAACACCAACAACGGCAAACTACTGGATGAGATCCAGTTCCTCGTGGTATGTTATAGATAGAGCACAGTTGGGCTGTCAAATAAAAATTAGAATCTTGAATAATCATAGAATTGAAAAAAAAAATCCAGATTCGAATGCAAAAAGGAGATGCGGTGATATGTAAGAATCGTTGTTGCATTTTAATGTTTTTGCTAGCCTATCCAGTTGAACTAATTTAAAACATTCAAAACATTGCAGAAATAGAGAAGCTCAATGTGGAGAACACCTAGGTTATGTCAAAACCGCAACCAAGCTGTCACACTGAACACGTTTTTTAGACTGTCACCTTTGACAGTTGCACTCGTGTCTCGCAAAAGAGAGCTGCATGCCACATATTTTATATAAACTTATTTATTTATTTAAAATACCATGGCAAGCAAATAGTGTGCTTCTGTACTGCTTGTGTTTTAATATTAAAACGAAACTCCAATAAAAGATTATTGGAATGATTAGAATTCGTCTGTTATTAACGCTTTAACTTTTTTTTTTATCGTGGTAGAACTACATGGATCTATCAAAAGGGCACATCAAGGCTTTGCAAGAAGGAGATTTGTCTTCTCCTAAGGGCATCGAGGCCTGCATCAACGCTTCTGAGGCTCTGTCCCAGTGCATGAATGTAGCGCTCAACCCAGGTACTGCTCTCATACTGTACATCACTCATTTTGTGATAAGAGCACTTTCAGGTGAGCATGAGCATTATTGCTAATGTTTGCATTATGTTCAGGTCACGATAAGCTGATGGCAGTTAAGCAGCAGCAGCATCTTTTTTCTGAGCTCAGAGATGCCTTTGCCCGCCGTCTCACCAACCACCTCAACAACGTGTTTGTGCACCAGGTAACATATTCCACATGTAGTACACAGGTAAAGTACATGCACACCTTAAATGTATGGCAATGGGCTTTCTTTCCTTTTTCTATGAGTCTTTTATCTACCTCTGTCTGTGATTGATTCTTTCTCCTGTGTTCCTGTTTGGCCACCAGTCGTGTCTCTCTATATCCCTTTACTACACTGTGCTTTCTGTTCCTCTGTCAGTTCAACCACTTCAGTCACTTCAAAATGACCATCCCTCAGTTCTATAGGTCGTCCTGTCTGTCACTCCCTGTGAGTACGCCCACTCCAGCATCCTGTTTGACCCGCCCACTCTTAACAGTCACGCAACTCCTCTTTCTTAGACCTAACTGTCTCATCAGTGCTTCTCTCTCCATGGAAACATTTCATTTAAGCATGTTCATGGTGATGTAATCCAAACGTTCTCATCTTAGGCTTCTAAGATGATCTCCCCATAAACCTCCTTGCCAACATCATACTTGTGTTAGTAGTTGCTGATTTTGTCCCCTGAAGATGTGAAGGGGTCTTCATTGCCTTGTTTTGCTCACTCTCCGATGGAATTATGGGATGCTCGTGAGAAGATATGGCCTAGTCAGCATGCAGTTCCTGTAGTGTTTGCCTTTATGATATGGATGTTTTATAGATGCATTGAGAGGAACTGATTGAATGTGAGAATTTTTTGTGGCAGTGTTCATGGATTTGTGACGCTTGGTGGTTGTTACCCAACTAATTATGGTAACGGTTTGAACTCGGTGTCACTGTAATTTAACATGATAGTAGGGCTGGGTGTTTATACAGATTTCAACATTTATTTTGACACCAATACACAAACTCTAGATTTGATTCCATCATAATGTCCATTTTCTGTAAGGAAGATATTCTCTCTCTTCTGCTGCTGTACACTTTTTTTAATAGGGCAACTCTGGTTGTACAGTATGTTTTTAATTAAGTGAAAATAACCAGTTCATAAATTAAACTGCACGGTCACACTCTATGTTTTGATTCACTAAAAATAACCTGTTCATAAGAGTAATTTGTTCATAAATCAGACTGGTCATGCTGTATGTTTTTGATTCACTGAAATTGAACTGGTTCCTTCAGGACTTTTTTCTTTTTCTCGAATTTGTTTTTGCTTGCAGCCCACAAGGACTACTCAATAAAAAAAAACAGTTATTTTACCATTCATTTTCTGTAAACAAGTCATTTATTAAATCACATTCAATACAGACTGCGAATTTATGTTCACAAATCTGATTTTTAAAATATATTTTTACACAGCCACTGAAAATAGTCATAGAGCAAACATAAGTCAATGGGACTTCTGTTCAAATAATGTAAGTCCACGAAATGTTGCATTATATAAGTCCATTATCATTTGTAACCCCTCACACTGTACCCTTATCATCAGTTACAGTAGCCATTAAAATGCTATCATAATATTACTACAATGTCTTATCCTCATGTCCATGGCAGTGTCAGCAGATTTTGTAAAATATGTTTTCAAACATGGGACTTCGATATTAAAATTGGTCTAATAAAGATCACGATTAATCAGAAAATCTGTATTTTGTCCCAGCCCTGTGTGGGAGTGAGAGTTTGTGTGTTTTCCTTAATATTAACTTGCTTCGAAGTGTTTCCACTCACTAATTCTGTCTGTGTGTTTGTGTGTAGGGACATGATCAGAGCTCCACACTGTCCCAGCACACAGCTGACCTGACACTACCCAAACACAGCCCTCTGCACAGAGACCTGCTCAGATATGCCAAACTGATGGAGTGGCTGAAGAACACCCAGAGGGAGAAATATGAGGGCCTCTCCAGGGTGAGTGTTTCTCACTTTAATCGCTGCTGTGATTATCATGACTGATATCAGGCAACATTGAGGTTTGGAAGCATTCTGTCACATTTATACAAATTGTTCCGTCTTGAAAGTCATTAAAGTGTATGGAAACTCTAATCAGTAAAGCATGTGGCAAAAGTCAAGGACAAAAACATTATTAAATCCTATAACATTCTTACTTTTCGTAGCACTACAGATTATTACATTACAGCATCACAATAAGATTCTCATTTAAGTCATAGTGAATTGCTGTTTGTGACCAGTTTTACTGACATACACTGTAATGTGTTGTATTTCAGAGTGAAACTGGTTATTCAGTGAGAAAAATGTTGAATGGAACTTTATTTTATTCATTGTGAATTTATTTAGATGGTGAGAAAGTATGTTAGATGTATATCAGAATGAATGTGAATATGCTAAACAAATGTCTCAATAGCTATTTAGCTATCTTAAGTTAACAATCTCCGATAGTAGGCACAGCCTAAGTGACATCAGCAGAGCAGGAAGGCTGTTTTTAGAGGTTTAAAATTACAAAAATATTTTTTTTTTCTCTGAAATAACATGCACTGACGAATCATTCACTTATTAATATGAATTGTTGAACGGTGTACATACCCAACTTGCATTAAGAAAGTAAGTAGGCCCATTTTAATTTATCCCTTAAGATCATAATTGGGACTTTTAAAAACAATTACATCACCAACAGTAATCACAGGTAAAAAAAAAAAAAAAAACCTGATAAAGTCTATTATCATTTATGACCATCAGTTACAGTAAGCATTAAAATGCCATCATAATAACACTGCAATGTCCTATCCTGATGTACTCTGAGAGCCGGTGGTTTTCCTTTTGAAATGGCAGCATAAGTGAAGGATAAAAGCAGTTAAATTTAATTTCAGCTCTGCTCAGTCTTAATAGTACAGTTAATGTAATTCAACAGACGTTAAACCCAATAAACTCAAGGGCAAAGCCATATTTAAGGGTTTCATTGGAGCGATTATTGTTTTTCTGATCATCATCACTCACTTCCAAATTGATTCCCAAATGTTTAAGATGCATTTGTCTGTACCCTCTTCTATTATTAATCTTTAAAATCCAAATGAGATAACTGTTGTGGCCTGGATGTTGCTGTGTGTACTCTGGTTGGATTTCACTTGTTCCCTCTGTCTCTCTCCTCATTATTTCCGATGTTCTTTACACCCTCTTCTAAATGAGAAAAAATGCTGAGAAATAAAAAAAAATTGGAATTTGGTCAAATTCCTGATCCTCCCTTATGTTTTTTTACAGACTTACGTGGATTACATGACTCGACTCTATGAGCGGGAAATTAAGGATTTCTTTGAAGTTGCAAAGATCAAAATGGCTGGCACTAGTAAAGATGGGAAAGGAAAATTTGGTAAGACCGCAATAAAAACAAATTATTTTGTTTGTTTATCAAGAAACTCTTGGAACAGGATTTTTGCCCATGCTATATCTTTAGTCAGTGTGTGTCTTGTGTTTGCTATGTTGTGCGTTTGTCATAGTGTGTGTGCTGTTTGTAATCTACTTGTGTTTTTCTTTCATGTTACACCACATGACAAACACACAGTTTAGAGTTGAATTTTAACTATCCGACTTAAATTTGTAGTGAAATCATTGAGGTGTCAGTCATCGCTTGTCTCTGATATGATGGTGTTACATCATGTTTTCATTGTAATGTCCTGACATGTGCTGCATGGCCCACAGTGTGTGTATTATTACACATGCTAGTATGCCATTACATGT